TTTCTGGTGCTGGTTATGTTTGTTGTTAAAATTCTTTGTCCCTCCTGTATCTAAAAATGGCACTGATATCCTTATATATCACACTTGGGTATCTCAGTATCACCCAAGGGGGGTGGGAGAAAAATTTGTACTTGCAGATCTCCCGTACGGTGGCTCAAGCTGGAAATAAAAGTGACTGCTGGATATGCTCTCACAGCCCAGCGCACCTACAACAAGGAATCCCAATGATCGGAGTACCAATATCCCTCCGGCAATGGGGAACAATAAACGGCGGCTTCGTTAGACACTACTCGTTAGCTGCCCATCGGTCCGCTCCTAAAGAATGGAGGGCCGCCCCTGCTAACTGGATAATCTCCCCAAGAGTAGAGGCGCCTTTCTGTTACAGATCCAACAACACCGGAGCTTATAATAAAGCCACACCTGTAGGACACTACCCTCATTGCCTAACTACTCTAGATTATAGCCCCAATAGCACCAGTGGAATCCTGTTGGGTAATGTACCCTCTCTCAATTGTACAGGATTCATGGTCTACAACTTTTCTAAGGAACCTCATGTTGCTCTCATTGCAAACAGATCGGAATTTTACATTGACTCCAATTTTACTTCTTGTAATATATCTCGGTCCAGCAGGATAACAGCTGAACGTGGTCCGTCCTATACGATGCATATTAATCGAAAGTGCCGGATATGGCACAACACCTGTCGAGATTTGAGTACCCTTTCTGCCCCAGGCCTTTACTGGCTCTGCGGAAACAGGGCTCATAAAATCTTGCCCTGGAATTGGGTGGGGGCATGCACTCTTGGACGTGTTATCCCTGGTTTTGAAATGCATAGTACAATATATCTGGAACAAGTAAAAAATTTCAACCATCACATGAAAAGGGCGGTTAACCCCTTAGCTACCAGAAACACAGGGTTCCATCAATTTGTGAGAACCTTCATACCGTGGCTTGGAGTAAGAGAATTGGAACTAGCCATAATTAACATTTCAGCCACAATGGAAGCTATGGGAAATGCCACTGCGGATGCAATTCAGGCTCTGCAAGAAGAGATCTCCCAGATCTCACAAGTAACTATACAACACCGCGTAGCCCTAGATTACCTATTGGTATCCCAGGGAGGAGTATGTGCCTTAGTAAACTCCACCTGTTGTGTCTATGTCAATCAGGACATGCGAATTGAAACTGACATTCGTAAAATCCGAAGTCAGTTAAGGGTCTTACATCAAGTGGCCTCAGAAAATACTGACTGGGGTCTAAAAGAAATGTGGTCTTGGCTAACCTCCTGGCTCCCAGATTCCGGGGCCCTTGGCAAGAAAATCCTGTATGGAATATTGTTTGTCTTGATAGTTCTGATAATGTTTTATGTCTTAGTGCAACTGATCCTCTGCTGCGTGAAAGCCAGCAGGAGAAGCTTTAGCAAGGCAAGAAAACCCACAGCAGAGTCTAGAATAATGGTATTACAAAAGTGTGAGCAGATTGAAAGAAAACATGAAAGGCTGCATGATGAAATAGAGGGGCTCATGAGAATAAAAATTTAAGGGTAAAGTGAGACTAAAATAGTCTCAAAGGGGGGGAACTGTGGAATCAGAAAAAATATGCGCCTTAAACTTTGACTATTTTAGTTATAAGATGACATAACCGCTTTGTGGAGAATTGCTGGCTCTGTATAGTAGAACAGATAAGAGAAAGTGTTTGTTCTTTGTAACTCCTCTGCAACTGCTTCGCTCACCGCGGCCTTGAAGATAGCAAAAAGTATGTACAACTCTGATTTGCAGGTGCAAGAAGGAGGTTTGTGAACTAACCTCGCCTCCCCCATTAGTTCCCATCCTGATTACAGCAAAGAAATAATGAAGTAATGTTATAGCCGCTTTTCATGCTAATTTCACTATATGATCACGTGAGTTGTAAGCAACTGTTAAAAAGTATATAAGCCTCCTGATTTTGCTCTTGGGGGGGGACCCCTTCCAAGTGCTTGGGAGATCCATGTCACTTTGGAGTCCCCCCTACAGCTGTAGTTTCTTTTAAATAAAAGCTTCTGCTGACCTGACCCAAAAGTATGCTGCGTGTGTTTCCACGACAAGTGCATGCAGCTTTCCTCTGCTGACAAGGCCCAAGTGGCCTCCACATCACCGGAATCTGCACTGGGACCAAAGGCCTTGGCACGAACCTGCACATGGCCTCTGTTGAGTCCCAGGCTGTGTGACACACGCAGCCCAGAGATGAAACACAAAGGCACGAGCCATGGGGGATTCACTTCCCTCGCAGCATGAAAGCTTGTGAGTCCCACCCACTGCACAGAGCCATCCAATACAACCCAAGACCAGGATTCAACACCAAGGGGCACTACAGAGAACCCCAGCCCCACTCTTATCCTACAACAGCTACGCTGAGATTTTATCCACCATGTTGATTTCCATGTGGGAAATACAAATCCCATCGTGCCCTGGGAGAGGGTACTATAGAGGTATGGCTACTTTGGGCCGGGGAAATCAGCTCTTAGATTTTGGTTTTCATTCAGCAACATAAGACCATGGTATCCCAGTGAAACCAGAGCTATACTTAAACATCAAGACAGCAAACACAGCTGTACCCTAACAGCTGTGGTGAGAGGGAGGAGGAGGAAACGGCTGCTCATCTCCACAGTTTGGAATTTTAGTGCATGGAAACACCTGCCTGAACTCATGACAGAAAATGCTATTTGAGGTCAGCACCTGGAAGGGGAGTACAGGGCAGGTCTGCAGGCTCCAGGCCCCGTCACTCTAGGCAAAGAGCATGTCCGAGAGGGGAGTCGGGGGAGGGGACCGCCACAACTCACCTGGTGACAGGTCCTCCAATCTAGAGATGTCCCCATGGTCCTTCTCATCACTGACCCAGAGCTCCTCCTGTCCTCGCTGCATGCAGAGAATTAAGTCAGGCATGGGACCTCGATATCCTGTTTGGGGCAATGTTTAAGAGGGTTCATGACTGGGTACTGGATGAAATATAACCAAGTGGGATTTAGGGAATGGATGTAATGATCTCAAGGATTCTATCCGGGCCTTGAAGGACAAGGGAGGGTGGATGGTTAGGATGAAAGAGAATGAGTCACAGGTGATGGCCTTTGTCACCCAGGTGGTGGGGACGGTTGTAGGAAACAAAACACCAACCACTCTGAGGTATAAGATGGGCGTGAGACCGACAGAGTTCCCAGGGACAGGGGCGGACATGCAGTGACCTGCGATGTGATAGAGAGCAGAAAGATGAAGCTCTTGCTATTTACAAGGCACCAAAACAGAGAGAGGCTGGACACACTGGTGGCTGGATAACATCTGTCTTATCAGTGTAATTCCAGGCAAAGGAATGGGAGTGAGTTTCTTCTCTGGGAAGGTTTAAAGCTGGGCCTGGCAGGGAACAGAATCCAGGACAGATGGCTGACCATGACACTTCTCTCTGGGAGAGAGGGGCACTCCCCAACAGGACAGAGGAAGGGAAGATGTTATAAAGCTGTAGCAGTATCAAAAGCAATCATCCCATCCAGCGGGAGGATCATCCCAGGAGGGGAGAGGAGTACACAGACATTTGGTAAATCCTGCTGGGTTGGAAACAAAGGTCCCAAGAGGCCTAGATACAGACAACAGAAGGAGACACCTTGTAATTGTGTTGGCTGACCTAGAGAAAGCCTCAAAGCCTTTCCCCAAGGAAGTCCTTCAGGAGAACAGGAGGGAAAATAAAGTGCTAAAAAGGCAAGGTGGCCTCCTAAAAGTCCCTCAGCTCTGCCCACAAGCCAAAAAAAGTCTTATATCACAGACCCCTGGGAAGTGGCAATGGGTTTTCACCACAGAGCTGTGGAGAGGACGTGGTTTCAACCACCAAGAAAAAGTTTGCAAGGACGAAAGCGCAGAGAAGCAGGGAGAAGACAATAAGCGTCAGCGCTGACATGGCTGCAGGGAAAAGCAGGAAAGAGCTTTACCCAGGGAAACGAGAGCTCGGCAGTTTGTCAGCATCTGGTCCCGGTACAGCCCCTTCTGTGCATCCTCCAGGAGTTCCCACTCCTCCCGCGTGAAGTACACAGCCACGTCCTCAAAGGCCTCACGGAGCTGCAGGCACAAGCGTTTCCCCATCAGTGTCTCCTGTTCCAGCTGCCTTCAGCCCCCACCGCCCTCTGGGATCCCTCTATGTGACAGCTCTCTGCACACTGGGTCATGACGCACTGGGTGCAAAATGGGATGTAGGTGCAGTCATGGACGTAGGGGTGCAGGTGTCTACCCTGGTGCGGCTCATCACGTTCTATGTGCTTGGGTCTTTGAGGCACCAGCTTTAGAGCCAGGGGCCCTGGCTCCACCACTGCGGCCAGGACTTCCTGCATGCCAGCACCCCTGGCTATGAGCACTGGGGAGCAAGCTCTGGGATACACTGGCTAGGTGCGGTTGCAGCCCCCATCAGAGGCTCATTGGTCCACAGTTCTTTCTGCTCCCCAAACTATTGACAGTGCCCCTGGCTCTTCCCAGGCGTGGCCCCAGCTGCTCTCCCACCCCCAGCTGAAGCTGGTGCCCTGCTCACCTCCATGCTCTCCCCCTGCCTTGCCAGCCTGCCCTGCCCCTTCTGCAGCTGGCCCTGCTCAGGTCTCAGGGTGCCCCTCTCCCCCAGCCTCCCTGGGGAAGTCCTCGGCAGCTCCAGGTTTGCAGGCCCTTCTTCAGGAGGCTGCTGATGAGCTCTGCCCAGGGCCCCTGTACCTGCGGGGGGAAGAGAAGGCACAGGTCAGGCCTGGAGGAGTGGGAAAGCCCTACTCCTCTCCTGTACGGGCTGGTGACTGTGGCAGCCAGAGCTTTCAGCACGTGGGAGAGTGGGGAAGACGGAGGACAGGCACTGCAGCACCCAGACCCACGCTCCGGCCAGCACCTGGCCTCTCATCTGACTCCGGGTTGGGCGTGGAGTCCTTTGTGAGGCCATGGGGTGGCTGGTCCCAAGGCCCTAGGCTGTCCCTCTGTGCCACCTTCTTCAGAGACACATCTGGAGGTTGGGCCCATAGCTGCTCTGGCCAGGAATCACCAGGCTGCAGCAGTGCCCTGGTGGGCTGCATCCTGTCTGAGGTCCCCTCCTCCACCTTCACACTCACTGTGACCTGGGGACAAAAGGCATGTGTCACCGGGGAGCTGGGACTGGGAGACGGTGACGGGAAACATCCCTCAGGCACACAGAGATGGGGAGCAACAGCATGGATGATTTGGGTAAAACTTGTGCGCATGGAGTTTCTCAGCCTCTGCCCGCCACTGCTGAAACCCCTCATCCAAGGTCACCGCCTTGGCGCAGGTCCCCATGCCACGCCCCCAGTCCCTGCTCTGCATCTCCACACCTCCCCTCTGCCCCCTGCCCCCCTCCAGCACAGGCAGACTCCCGTGGTCACCCCTGCCATGTCCCACAGCCAAGAGCCCCCAGCTACGTGCAGGACTGGATCCAGTCCATGCAGACCCCTCCCCATTGTCCTCTGGGAAAGTGGGTTGCACCACCTGTCCAGGCCCCAATCCGGTTCCAGCACTACAGAAAGCAGTGTCCAGCCCCTGCCTTCGAGCACTCAGCCTTGCTGGTGGCCCCTCACTCCTGACCCGCAGCCCCTGTCCCT